AAAATAAAACTGATCTATACACTGAGGTATTTACTTATTATAAATGCTGAACTTTTATAATGGATCCATTAATGGATTATATTATTTTATATGGTCTAATGGATAACTGCTTGAACTTGTTAATTGGATAACCATGTTCCAATTCCCATTTGGTTTGTTATATTCACTTACACAGAAATACCATTGTAAAACGTATGAATCCACTTCTTTTCCTTCCAGCTATGGGTTAATTAGTAAAACTTGTATTACTAAATCATTATTTCTTCCCCCCCCCTCTGCCAAATTCTTCCAATCTAAACATATTTTCATGCTTTAAATAACCTTCAAAGATTTGAGAAGCCGTAAAAAATGAATCAATCACTCAATAAAAAATCTCTGATGATGATTAATTGGCTCAATAAACACCTGAGGAAGGCTGAATGGTACAGCAGCCGAAACATGTGTCAATAGATTTTTTTGTTTCATATTACTATTGATTTAAGTACTCCAGATCATGAATATTTAGATTAAATTTTTTCATTAAATTTCATATGTTAATAAGGGTATCCACTTTGCTATATCAGGCATTTATCCCACTGCACGTGATGATCTCAGCATGCAACTTTGTTGGGAAATGCCTAAAAGACATACTTCTAGTTGACCCAAACCTTATTAGTGATTGAAACTTTTTGAAATCTGTCGATGGTTATGCTAGCATAAAGTCCCAAGCCATTGTGATTGGTTATTTGTATTCATCTAATTTTTGGCATATTATGAATATCTCATAGTGAACTGGAAGTTGTATTCTTATAAAATTCCATTTGTAATCAACTATTTCTTCTTTTTATCCACCAAGCTCTTACAGGACATAGGCAATCATGGCTCACCACAACTTTCAATTTCTTTATCCCAGTCCTGTCATCTGTTCACAAAAACTCATTAATCAGGTGACTCGCTATTTTCTACTAATTCTCTTACCTTCAATATGACTTGTGAATGTTAAATTCTCCAAGCCTTATATTTGAGTATTGAAACTAATGTAGACTTTATGAAGCAATGTAAATAGTCTTGAGTGTTGAGAGTAACTAGTTTTGCTTTGGATTGAATTCAGAAACATGTGGGACTGTCATATAAAATTTACAACTCAAAACCTCCTGATCATAGGCCTTGCTGTTGGACGTAGTTTATCATCTTACCCAGGATGCTTATCTACCCTTGAACAAATTGAGTTTTAAAATCAAAGGTCAAAACTATAACTTCATAAAAGAGATGCCAGAATTAGCATCCAACTAAAATGTCTGAAAAAAGAAATTGAGAGACTACTGGACACATTTGAACTTTGTCTTGGTTAAGGTAAAGAATACAAAAGATTAGTAAGGAATTTTGGTATCTGATACTCTGAATGATCAGGAATCAAAATTCATAATGGCACAACGACCTTCCACTAGGCAAAATACAGATTTCTTCATTATCAATGGCAGTGGTACAAGCTTTCATGAACTGTACTTATCATTTACTATTCATCTTAACAATAGAAATCCAAAATTAGTCTCTCTTGCAAACGGAAGAAGACATATCCCTTAATATGTTTCACGTGTTTAGGGCATGATAATTGATTTCTTCTGACTTTAGTAATCCTGTATCATTTCTGCTGAAGCATTTGGGTATTGTTCCCCATCTACAACGAGAACAAGGAGAACTCTGTAATCTCTGCATGCAGACTGATATCACATGTGAATTGTGTAATATTCATGCTGTTTGCAAAAGAGCTTACTTATCGTTGCTCATGTTGGCAGATAACTTCAATACACCTTGAGATGCAAATAGATAACATTATCCAGAATTCAGAATATTCTAAACATCTCTGACAATCATATGCATTGTAAAGTTCTTTAAAATGAATTTACTTTAATTTCCCATGATAATTATTATCATTACTATATTTTTTTTTTAGATTTTCTATCCACACGTTTTTTTTGTTTTTTTGTGTATATTTTTTAATTTTCAAAATATTTTTTACTTACCTTTCTAGACTTACATAATGTTAAATTTATTTTTTCTATTATTTCTTTTTTAGAATTATGTTCTTATTATTTTAGTCTAAGTTGGAGCTCCAGTGCTACACAGTTTTCTTAACGACCATTTCCTTTATAACATTATATGTATGAAGTAAAAGAAAAAGAGGAAATGAGTGACAGAGTGTCTTCTGATTTTTTTTTAGCTTGCTTCTTAACCCTAGAATACTAACCATGGGTATATGAGGCGAATGAAGAAAACAGTAACCAGCGAGTAAATTCAAGCTCTCCCAGCTGGTATTTCAACCATGAGCCATTCCTTCATGAGTTCTGTCTCCAAATCACACTAACTGCCCGTTCTTGCCGTCAACCGTGAACGTCCCTTGAAGAACTCCCCGACTCGGAAAAAAGTAGTTGTTTTTATAGTTGTTCATGTACCCATAATCCCTTGCGTCTTCATGTGATCCCATAATTCATTGCGTCCATGTCCCATAATGCATTGCATCGTTATTGCATAAAAACGCGATGCCAGTCCCCCCCTCATTCTTTTACGTTATCTGGCCGGGGATGGATTACGGCAGAGTGGTAAGTGCTTTTTTCTCTCCCTCATTTCAACTGCAGTAGCTTTACATGCTAAGCAAATACGGGCTCTTTTTTGGCGGGGACAAGGCAAGTCGCGACCAGTTGTGCTCGTCCCAGGTTTTGTCTCATGTCCGCCACAGTATATAATACCCAGTACAATATGTTTTTCAGTTCCTATTAATGTTAACTCAAAGTACAAAGTTTGAAGTGCCTGCATGTAAAATATTTCAAATAAAGATTTATATTTAATATTTTTTTTGATATTTTCAAAATCGGGTATGATATACCCATGGTTAGTTGTGGTGTAACTTTAATTGGTGTTCTAGGGTTAAAAGTTACAAAATCCACTTTGAAGAATTTTGGAAGGTGGAACTCATTTTATAAGGAAATCCACCACCTTCTCTTGAATAAAAAGTCACTCAAGCTTGCTACATCTACTTGAAAATTTTTTTCTTCATTTTTGAATACTTCTTTTTTTGATGACCAATTCCAATTCTTTGAAATTGGTACTTACAGACTTATCCTGATATGATAGTATGACTGTTTGATGAACTTAACAAATCACTCTGGCCTGTTTTGTTCTGATACACAATTACAATTGTTTTCAACTCCCTACCATTTATACATGTTTGCTTTTCTTCTTGCATATCAAAATAGGAAGATGCATGACAAAGAAATTTCTCCAAAGATATCTCATCAACTTCTGAAAGTCTATCATTACTTTCACTGCTTTCTGAACCATCTGTGAATCATCTTAGATCAAATCCAGTTGATACAACAGAGTAAGATGTCCTGGAGCAAAAACATTTCTCACAAGATATTGACCCCTGCAAGACAATCTTTAATTCAATTGTTTTGAATAATGCTCTGATTTACACATCAAGTTATGAGGGCTCAATTTCTCCTCAGTTTAAATACTGAGCTAGAGTTGAATAAAATTAAAGCATTAAGTTTATGTGAATGAAAAGTTGACAAACTTGGGCATTCACACTTACAAAAAAAATGGAGTGTCAAAAGAACAGTTTTTTCCTTGACACCACTATTATTTTAACTACCTTCATTCCTCATAAATGTTTATTATTTTTAAAAAAATGTTTATTATTTATTTTTATTAGAACTGAAAGTGAATTTATACATTTTTGAGAATTTGTAACAAAAATATTAAACACGATTTATTAGATTGTTTATTTACACTATTTATTTATTATTGTAGTTGATTGGTAAATAGAATTGTACCTATTTGCATATGTAAAGTAGAAGAGAAATAAAGTTTATAGCAATAAAAGAGAGGTGGAAGTTGATTACTTATCATGTGCTGTAGAACAATACAGTACAACAATTATATTGTTCATTTAAATGGTGAGCAAAACAATGACTAATTGCCAATTGATTCAAACTTTATAAAATGGTAAATAATAAGGATTTCCTTACAGTTGTTTCAAAAATTTAACAAACATTTATAAATTTCTGAATAAAAAATTATTTTCATATTTATTTCTTTTTAAATGACAAATATTGCATTAGTTTTAATTGTATAAATTTTTAGAATGTTGTAAATATAGCATTTTTCTTGTAAATAAACAATCTAATAAATAGATAATGTTTAATATTTTTGTTGTAAATTCTCAAGAACAAAAAAATGTATAAATTCACTTTCATCATATGGTTAGGGTTTTTTTTTTACAATTCTAATCATCACTTTTTCAAACAATAAACATTGCCAAGGAGTGAAGGTAGTTAAAATAATAGTGGTGTCAAGGGAAAATCCATCCTTTTGACACCGTTTTTTGTGGGCGTGGAGGTGCAAGCTTTCTCAAAAATTCATATAAATACCAGAAGAACCAATTCATTAAATATAAATAAAGGATTGTTAGATTAAATAATCAGGTAAAATTCATTTTGAATCAAAGGTTAGGAAGATCAGAATGAAGCCAAGTAAAATTTTGAGTTGAGTTTAAAAGACAAAGACAACATGCTGCGGTACCAAAAAATGTAAAGATATAATTCTAATGCAAAAATGATCTGATGATAGTGACAAACACAAAGAAAGACATGTTTATGTATTTAACATTTTAGAATTAGTATATAATGTATTTATATCTTCACATGTATAATGAAAGGAATGATTACATAATTAGTTTTTAGCAGGTGACTACAACGAAGGCAAGAGTAGATGATTTCAGTTACTTAGAGCAAAGATTGTTGAAATATTATACCAGTAAAACTATACATGTCTGAGGGTCGAATCGATTTTGAAATAGACATCTTTTCTTTCAAACATCATTTTGAGAGTGAACTGACTGAAACAAGATAAAGTTGTTACTTTCAATGACTGCGTGAATTGCCAAGGCAAATTTGTATTATGGCGCTCTGCCAGTTCACGTAGCAGACACAACAGAACCCAAATTTAACAAGATACATTACCTGTTAATTAGAGTCTTACACACCAGCTGAAAGTTATATTCTTTGGCCGCATGAGGTTGGAACAAAACATCCAAATTCAGAGTTTCCAGTGGCAGAATTATACCAAAACCATCGTTGGGTTGCACACTGACATACTTTATATGGAAAAAAAAGACAAAAAAATATTTTTTAAAAACCTATTAAAGGTAAAAATTTAATTATAGCAATATAAAGAGACATAATTAAATGAGATAAAAAGGCAAAACAACTTGGACTGTTGAAAAATAAATAAATGAGAACAACAGAATGAGGTTATTGCTCCTCATTCATCAAACTCATTGAAGGATAGTAAAAAAAATTGTGCATAACAAAGTAAAAAAGAAATATGAAAAAAATAAACATGTATCAATGACATATTGAAATGAGTATCTTTTTATAAAAAAAAATCACATTCAGTTCTAACAACCATGCTTTCAGTTTACATAAGATTGTCTTGATTTAAAGAAAATAGTTTCAAGGACTTAATTTTTCTTCATTAAAAAAAACAGAACATCAAGTGATAACTTTGAAGTTTATGCATGATTTTGAGGTCTTAAATAAGAACCATATTACAATCTGCATTGAACAGAATAAATTATGTTTGTATTTTTCATGCAGCATTAGTTTTGGGAGATTGTTGGTCTGTACCTATCAAGTTATTTTTTGATTCAGCAATCAAATGAAAGAAGACAAAATATATGGTTGCTAGCAAAAAAGCCCAAAATGAAAACTACAAATTGGGGTTGTCAGAATGAAGCATGTATAAAAATTTAATGATCTGGGAAGTCTTTTAACAATGAAAATGTGACCCAGAAATCCAAAGATGCATTGGAATTCCAAAATCTAAACAAAGTGTTATAAAGCAAGAATATTTTATTACAAAGACAAAAGTGCTGGAATGCTATGTAATATTAATCTTCATATATAGCAGTGAATGCTGGACAATTTTCTCACAAATTAAGAGACTTGAGGCAAAAGAGATTAGGTTCTACAGAAGAATGGTGATAATACCATAGACAGAGTATGTGAGAAACAAGGAAGTATTAAGGATCATGAGCATGAAAAGGACTCTTGTACTTATAGTCAAAATTTCTTGGAAACAAGATGAGGCATGAGGGTTTAGACAATTTGATACTCAGAATATACTGAGGGAAGCAGTCAGTAAATGCATGATAGACTAGAGACTTGGAGGGAGAGTAAAATGGAACAAATACTATTTAGAGCTCCATAAGATAGAAAGTTGTGCAGCCATAGCCATAGACATTATATATAAAAAAACAAGCAGGTGGATAGCAGCACAATCAACTAGAAATCAGGTGACAATGGAGTTATTTAGGCACAAGCCTACCTAGGATTTTTATGGGAGATCAACTGTTGCTCATGAAGCAACACTCCCCCTCTCCAAACCATCAGTATTGTCTTACATCTGGTACAAAAAGATCATTTTCTGATCAGGTTTATATGCTGTTACAAGCATTCTGACAGCATAGTGATTGGATATGCCTTCTCTGAATTTATTGAAGACAATGGCTTGAACATGTACAATGACTGAAGCAGTGCTGAGCCAAGAACTGATGAAGTTGTAGGAGAAAATTTGGAGGGAAAGTGTTGACAATAGCCATAAAAAATTGAAGTTGAAAGAAGACATGGTTCTAAGCTAGAGTCATCTGGAGAAGTACAGTGAAATTGTCTCAAAAAAATGTCCAGTCATCGTGTCAAGGAAAGAAAACAATAAAACTGATAGTAAATGAACCTGCGTTACATTCATTTTAGTGTTATGCACAGTTCTGAGATGAAATATTGCCATTATTCTAAGACCTGTTTCTAAGAGTCATCTGGAGAAATACAGTGAAGTGGGCTCAAAAAAATGTCCATCTTTTGTGTCAAGGAAAGGAGACAATAAAACTGTTAGTAAGTGAGCCTGCTCTACATTCTTCCTAATGTTATGCAAAGTTCTCAGCCGAAATATTGTCATTATTCTAAGACATGGTTCTAAGACAGAGTTATCTGGAGAAGCACAGGGCAGTGGGCTCAAAACATTGTTCAACCTTTGTATCAAGAAAAGAAAACAACAAATAGTGAGCCAGTGAATTTTTAAAACAACTTCTCAGTTTCTTTTAGACATTTCCAACCTTTAACCTTTTAAAAGACAGCATGTTATCATTGTATAAAAAACCTGGGCATCCATGCTCTAGAACTTTTGCTGACCACTTGAAGATTATGTGGATCTATTTAACAAAATCATTCATGGTTTAAGCAGTGTACTGACCAGAGTATTGAAAAAAGTCATAACAAAGGCTGGACAAAGAAAAATTAGAGAGAAGATCTCTACAATGACCTCAAAAAATTGAAGTTGAAGTCATTTTTCTAAGATAGAGTCACCTGGAAAAGCACAATGAAATGGGCTTCCAAAATGTCAGGCTAGTCCTGGGTATGACAATAAATTACATCCGGCAGCAAGGCCTCTGATTGGGAGGTGTTGAGGAGCTTCGAACCACCTCTTAATTGCTGTTGTTCCCAGGTCCACCTTGACCCAGGGTGCAAGCACCTGTTAGGGTCCCAGCTACGGGTAAATAGTTAACACCCAAACGAGGTACAAAATGCTATGAAAGTATAAAAATAGATTTTTGTAATAAATATTATCAGCAATACATTTTAAAAAAATGAAACAAACTTACCAGCTATACATCTGTCTCTCGACAAAAAAACCTGTTTACAAAAATATGTCAATGAAACCTAATCTACAAACTGATTTCTTACAATGTATACATAGTCTATTCATACAAATCTACCGTAAAAATCTTGTTGGCATTAAATGACCCATCGAGGTTGATATGCCGTAAAACAAAATAAATCAAACCAAACCAAAATGTCCAGCCCTTGTATCAAGGACAGAAGACAATAAAACTGATAGTAAGTGAGCCTGCTCAAAATTCTTCCTAATCTTAAGCAAAGCTCTGGGATTAAATATTACCATTATTCTAAGACATGGTACTAAGATAGTGTTATCTGGAGAAGCACAGTAAAGTTGGCTTCCAAAATGTCGAAGGAAAGTTGATAAACTGGGTAATGAGTGTGAGAGAGTGAAATTAGTGATACTTGTGTCTTCACTTTACTCCCGGGTTGGAATACTTTGGGATGAGAGGAGAATTATGCCTGTTAGAGTGCAATTTTGTTAGTATGTTCAAAGGCTTATGATGAAAAAAGAAAAAAAGCATTTCTTTTACAAATTAAATACTTGTTTCAATATAATCTGCTTCCCAGTCAAAATACACTTAACCCTTCTTCAGAGGTTGAACATTAAAGAAGCTATAATTTCTTTTTCTTTCTTGAAGGAAGCTATTTCATGCCTGCAGTTCCTTGAACTTTCAGCCATAATGTAGACATTTCAAATCTTGAATGTGGATTTGGGGGGGGGACTGGTACAAGACTACACTAATAGACCATCTGTGAGTAGCGAACTCAAAGCATGAAAGGCAGACAGATATACAAGGTTATTTTGGGGAGTCTGAAAACGCTCCAAGAATGTTTGTTTATAAATTAATGGCAACTGCTTTTTGCTTTACATCATTTTTGTTTATGTAAAGTTTCATTGGAATACTCTATTTTCCAATAGAAAAAAACTTGTAATGATAAAGTTAAACTCCATTCATTTTTTTTCATATTCAATGCTCACTTGGGGTTTTTTTGGGGTTTTTTTTAAATATATCTTGAAGTAAACCATTTCTAATTTCTAGTTCTGGGATTATCAAATTCACTCCTGGAATATTGTATTTTCCATAGTTTTCTAATTTATTTTTCGACAAAGCTCATTTGAAAGACCCGATTCCATAATGAGGCATGACATTATCATTTTTTGACTGGTGTAAACAAAGAAGTCTTGCACTTCTATATGTTAAATCTATCCATGCAGTAGAAAGATTCAGATATTTAAAGTCTCATTTCTTAGAAATACACAGAAACTTAAAAACAGAAACACTGATATGATAAATATTTAATTAAGTGCATTAACAAGAAAGATTACACTGGAAATAGAAATATTCATTGTGCAAAATAAATGCTTTTTCATAATTAAGCTACTGATTAATTTTTTATGCTTTATCAACCTTTTATAAGTTATTTAATGCCAGGAAAGATTTTTAGATTGTAAAAGTTTTTTTGAAATAATAATTCCTATTAATTAACCCATACCTGGGGGGCAGAAGAGATTGATTGATACTTTTCCCAAGGGTATTTGTACATAAGTTAATATAACAAACTCAACTGAAATTAGAATCTAGCTCCTTGATTTCCAATTCTGAGTAGTCGTCCATTACATTACCAGCACGTCCAAACTTATAGCACCAGGTCAGACTTACTGATATAAATACATATTTTTAAAAGGGAAAACTTTATCTAAAGAGGAACTTGTTAAGGCAACAGATAATTTGAATCCCTATAAAACAATGGCTAGCAAAATAGTTGATGAAAAATAAGCTGTTTGGAATAAATAAGTCTTGGAAAGCAAACAAAATGATTGCTAAATATCAGACATTAGAACAATTAAAAGATTTTACTTGAAACCTTCTTTCTCGATAACTTTCAATATGTATCCACTTTTCCATGGCATTAATGACCTGTTTTAATATTAACACAGTAGCTATGAAAATTAGATTGTATAATATAAAGAGTTTTTATGAAGACTCAAAGTTGAGCTTCATGTCTTTTCAAATAAAACCAAAAGTTCAATGAGATAAGAATTAAATAATTGTAGACATCATTCAGCAAACATTGAAAAACATTTCTGAAGAATAATATTTTTAAACAATAGATATTTCTAAACATTGAATAATATATGTCTCATAAATATTTGTAATATGTAATTAAAATTTGACAGAAAATATTAGAGAAAGAGATTGTAAGTTATAAAGATAACTATTTAGTTTGAATTATGCTTGTATCATACAAAGCATCATATTGTTATAATGTTAAGGAAATCTAAGAAGTTTTATTTCTTTATTGCCTGAGTGTGCATACTCTCTAAGAATTCTTTATGGAAATTTTTTGTTCCCATAGAGAGTGACAGCAAAAACATCCCCTACCACAAATTTATAGACAAAACATTCAGATGCATGCTGGGATTTTCCTAATCATTAAGATAGGCCATTTCTCAGTTTCATCAAACTTAATTCTGTTTTTTCTTGTCTTGAAGCCAGAATGCTGTGATCACTTGTTTGTATCCCCTTTTCTGTATGGCATCATTATTAGTCTGTGAGCTTTTTGTCGTATTACTATTGCATTGCCTTATTGCTGTTTTGCCTTGCATATATTGTTTGCTCAATATTATTTTTATCTTGTATTCTTTCTCTTGTGATTGTTTATTGCAAACTTTGCCTGTTGGGCATTTCTGCCAATTAACCTTTACCCAAGGCCAATTACTTGACAGAAAAGTAATAATTTTTCTTTATTTTGTACGCTTTAGCACCCTCATTCCTTTTGTATTGCATTAGTGAGATGTAAATACCACTTGAGTAACTTCTTCCCACAAACTGCTGTTTTATGGAACTGACTCCCAAGAGGATACTTCCCTGATCACTACAATCTTAATCTTTTCAAGTCTAGGGTTAACTGTTGTTTTCCCCACATATTCCTATAAAATGTGTCTCTAATTCTGTGCCCCTCTATTCAAGTGTCTCTTGGGACTTGTAAAGGTTGAACATCATTGTAAAAACAAAACTATCTTCTGATTAACATTTACTTCCACAGACAAAGGACAATTAAATGGAAAAATATTTCTTGACTGAGATCTTTAATTCAAAAGTTTGTGTGTGAGTTTGCAGGTGTTAATGTAATGCATACGTGTATGTCTGTGTTGTTCATTAATTGCATGCACTTGTGCCACTTAATGTATATGCAAACACACATACACACAATTTGATGGTGTTTGAAATCACACTAGAATAATATATTCCTCTCTCACTCAGTCTGGATAAACCCTACCCAGAGCTGAACAATGAAATGATAAATTTGTAAAAAAAAAAATTTTAAAACCTAAACAAATCAGATAGAAGATTTTATTTAACATTTCAGAAATTATTTGCTAATTAATAGAATTACACTTAATTTTTTTAAAAATTTTAATTGAATTAAAATACACATATGTACATGCAAACTCTACTTGAATAAAACTGGAACGTACATCTGTGTCATGAGAGTTCCTTTCATTTCTTGTCTGGCAACAACCCTTGGTTAATAGGAAAAGAGCATGAGCTGAAATGTGTAACCCTGTAAAGTCATTTTTAAGACTCTTTCTGTATTTAAAGTGAATATATTTTCTAATAAATGTTGTATTTTGAATGGACAAACAATTTAGATTTGAAAATTGATTACCTTGCTGTCAGCAAAACAACAGGTACTGAACTTTATATATATATATATAGAGAGAGAGAGAGAGACAGAATACCTTAGGTCCTCATATATAGCCAGCTTGACAGTGGACAAAGGTGTGTTGGTCAGCCATGGCTCAGGTATAAAGACAAGCTAAAGAGTAACCTCTTAGCTGTCAATGTGCCTCATACTCACTTCGGACAAATTGCTCTGGATAGAAATAATTGAAGATACTTGTGCCAATGGTATCAGAAATTTTGAAATCTGTTATATTGACTGGAATGCGATATTCATGCTCAGAATGTTATCAGAAAGAGCAATACAAATGCAGAAGTACGTGCAACTATTTTTTATAGACTACGCAAAGGCGTTTGGCAAAGTACACCACAAAGATCTGTTTGAACTGCTCAGCAACCTTGATATATTTGGGAAAGATATTAGAATAATCAAGAACCTGGTAGCAAATGGCCTGTATATGGATTGAAAATAAGTTCAGCAGATATACAAAAATAGAAAAGAGTGTAAGGTAAGGATGTGTCTTCTTACTGGACTTATTCAACCTATATAGTGATGCAATTCTGTGAGAACTGGAAATCCTACCAGGATTCATCATTGGTGGCCACAATCTTAACAACATAAGATAAATAGAGACATGCAAAGGAAGTTACAAAACCTACTACAGAAGGTAGCAAAGGAGAGCAAGAAGAAAGGACTAAGCATAAACTACAAGAAGACAGAATTCATGGTCATCAGTAAAAAGATGAGCCAGAAATGTGTTTTACAGATCAAGGACACTAAAATTAAGCAGATGTGAAAATTTAAATATCTGGGAAGTGTTTTGACAGAGAACAGTAAGTGCAATGCTGAGATCTAAAGACATATTGGGATGATCAAAGATGGATTCCAAAAGCTAGGCAGAGTATTATGAGACAGGAGGATTTCGTTGGTAACAAAGAAAAGCGTACTGAACTGCTACATGATATCTGTCCTCCTTTAGAGCAGGAAATGTTGGACAGTCTCCCCAAACATGTAGAAGAGGTAATAGAGGTATGGTTCTCAGAAAGATGCTAAGGATATAATGGACAAAACATGTGAGCAATGATGTGGTATTGGAGAGGATGCTAGCAAGGAGGAAGGTTATACTTAACATCAGGAAGAGGTAACTGAAATTCCTGGGGCATGTAATGAGAAAGGAAGACTTGGAGAATCTGATATTCACAGGGCAGATAGAAGGAAAGAGAGACAAGGGAACAGAATGTGTGACATACCTAAGGGTCTTAAGCAAGTGGATGATAGAATAGGGTCTGGGAGAAGTAGCAAAAGGACAAAACATATTGAGAACTACAAAGGAAAGGGAGAAGTGGAGAGCCATGATCACCTACATCCTGAAGAGACATGGCACATAAAAGAAGAGGAGATGGAAGACAACAGTGAAAAGTGACACCAAATATTCCTCTTGATATATCCCGAGATCCTCACTGTTGCATGATATGTGAACTTGTATGCAGGTCACTAACAGGACTGGTTTACATTTGACACAAACATAAAAAACTGAATGAGGTTGCCATTATCATCATCATATATATATATATGATGATATCATATATATGATTATATATATATATATATATATGTAGAGAGAAATAGAGAGCAATTCATATGGTGTAGATTAATAAATAGTTTTACTACTTACAGGTGGCAGGTCTACAAAGCCAAAATCTTGGGGTAACAAAGATTTGTTAATCAACTGGATGCAGCTCCTAACAGATTCATGAATTGTGCAATGGCCAAAATCAATTGTTTGGACACTGAACTGAAGGTCAGATGTTGTAACAACAGCATGCACAGCAAACTCCACGGCTTTGTTCTGGAAATGATAAAAAGAATAAAATAAATGAAACAAAATCTCCTATTGTAGGAAAGGTTCTTTAAACCAAACATTGCAGAGATTTTTTCTTAGACTGTTAATCCAAGAGAAATAAACAAAAATCTAAATAGCAAAGAGAAACTATTTTCTTACAAAGTGCATTTATCTTATATTTGGAATCCAAGCTTAGAATATTACAGCCATATATGGTCTGGTACCCCTGCATTTTACCTGGTGCTCCTTGATAAGATCCAAAGAAGGATCAACAATATTATTGGTCATGATCTGATGGATTGCCTTCAGTCTTTTGCTTCTCTGTGCCTTTTTTATAAATATTTTCATGGTAATTCTTCAGATGAGCTCTTTGCTATGGTACCTAGACTGTATGAATTTAAGCACAATACTAGACTGTTCTGACAAGCTACATTCTTTAGTTCAAACCTTTACAGCTAAGCCTCTCACTACTCTGAGTCTAATTTCAGTTGTGATGAGAGCCTGCTTAAGTTTACGAGTGTCAGCTGAAATATGAAGAATTAATAATGGCAAAACCTGATATTACCCAGGATAGTTTAAGTGTAAGGTTGCCTATCTGTACCTTTTCTATAAATACTTTCATAGTAAGAATCTAAAAAATGAAGATTAGGACCAATGACATCATCAAATTTCTGTAAACCAGAATAATAAAAATATTCCATAATGCATTAATTTTAGCTCTTTCCTTATAAGGAAACTGTTATGTTTGCATATTTCTCTGCATAGTAGTAGTCATAGTATAGTTCTCTGTGTCCTGAATAGCAACTGGGTTTGCTCGGCATAGCCCCCACCACCTATGTTCACCAGTTGTTCTCTGTCTAATTTGCATACGATACTACAGAAACATTTTGCATTCATTGACTGAGCAGTAGTATGAGTGTTAGTTGAAATTTATAAAATCTTTCTCTTAACAGGTTGGCCCCCACATGACCGACCAGAGAGTTGTTGTGGTATGTCTGCAAGAACTACATGAACCTCTGGTTGGTCGTTTTCCAATTTCTTTACTATGAAGATTATTGGGAGTAGGATGCTATGATTGATTACTCGTGAGATCATGGTGCAACTGAAACACATTTTTTTCCCCAAAAATGTAAACATTTTTCATTTTTTTTTGTTTTTTTATTTCACTTTACTTTTAGAATTTCTACTGTTGTTTTGGGGTTATTTTTTTATTCTTACATACAGAGAGTTGTACCATGCATTCATGCGGGTTGTGTGGGACTCTAGTTTGTATAATGGAGTCAGGTACCAAACAACAAACCAGTGGTTTCTGGGTGATAAATACTACCTATGATATTCTTGCCTCATATATGAAACAATGTTAAAACAAAGTCATTTGTACCAAAATTAATTAAGATATAGTTTTAGCACCCTGGGACAACAAGGGCAGTGAGGCTTGGGAGCCAATGTGTTAAAATAATTTATGGGGGGAAATAGGTTTCTCAGGTTCAGTACCTATTATTGCTCTTTCAAGTACTGATGGAAGTTTCCTTCCTAATCTTTTGTTTGCACTCATGTGGAAAATCAATATCTTAATTATGTTGTCATTTTCTCTTTTAGTTACATGTGATATCTATTTTAGTTATAGCTGCTGTTGAAAGCCCTCAAATGATGTGTTTTCTGTTATTTGGTACAGTTCTTTGTGATTTTGTAGCACAAGTCCACAAAATCTGTATGATGTTCAGAATAATTTTGTATTTCACTACTATGAATTCTAAATTGCCCAACAAAAGTAGAATTAAAGTTGAAAGGTTTGGAAATGGATCAATAATTAGTTTATCATTTCTTTAATCTGACAGGGTCTGATTTTTATTGAATTTCAGAGTTTAATTAGGGAAACTTTCATAGAAGGGACTTGGGGTTCCTCATGTGTTTCTGCTTGAGAAATGAATACAACATTCCACCATTGGCAACAGTCTTTTGACCAGGAACTTTTCATTTTTGCATTCCATTGACAAAAAATGGTTATCACAAAATAAGAAACCAATACAAATATCAAGAACCAACTCGCCATCTCCAAAAGTCCTTACTTTGTGCCTAATGGAATATGAAAAGTGTTGTCCATTAAAAGATACTGGAACATGGGAGCAACATTATTACAGATGTTTATTGCCAGCAGGTAAGCAAAATATTATCTCAATGGTATCCTGCTTTTGGTAATCAGAAAAGATGTTATTCTCCAGCCTGACAAAATAAGAGGACTGTCTGAAAAAAAAAAATCCAATGAAAAACTAAAATCTTTAGGATGGGAGGTTGTTCTGCATCATTCCTACACCACCTACAGAGTTTCATTTGTTTTGATGCCTAGAACAAGTGGAAGAACATTTAGAAAAGAAAGAAAAATTGAAAATAAAAAGTCTTATTTACTTTTGGGAAAAATCCAGATTTCTTCACATGTGGAATCAAAAGTTTACATTTCTGTTGGGTGGCAATCATTTAAAATCCCAATTTTGATAAACAATATTTAAATAAATTTAACTTATTTGTTTTTAGATTCTTTCTGGTAAGAGATAATTACTTTCTAACCAGCCTAATATTATATCAAGAAAGATCATTTTGAGAATTTTGTTAGAGTATGTTTCCAAGTTGTACTAGTAACCAAACAGTTATGTTAGGTAAGTAATTAACAAGTGGTCTTGTGTCTATTCAACAAAAATAACAAAAGTGTTTCCTTACACCACAACCATCCCAAGTAGCAAGGGAGAGGTTTGGTTTATGTTATATTCTGTGCTAATAGGAATATATATTTGAAAAACAAGGTGGATAAAATAAGTAAAGGTTTATTGAAAAAAAAAAAAAAAAATAGCACAATGAGAATAAAGGTAACAGTTATGCACAAGGCCGCCGCAAGTCAATCCAGTAGTGAGTGCTACTATTGGAAGGTTGGTAGTTCTCAAGTAAGTCTGAGTCATACTCAACAGATCCCAGCTAACATATTTGCCAACCGCCCCACGCAGTTAGATGTGGCACAAGGCCGAATTTAACATGGGGTAACCGAGCCTGTAGGCTTGGGCAAAAATTCTCCATAGACCCTTAAAAAACAGGGTCGGGTCTAATCGGGTCTTTGGCATAGACTTGTCCGGGTTCCTCTCTGCTCAGAGGCAGAGAGTTCAACCAGCCAGCTGAAAAGATTTCAACTAGTCTCTGTAGTCTGTTAACTTACAGATATTATAGGTAGTTGGTGACTCATAGGGGTGACAGGTTATTCCATTACATCAGTTTACAAGTAGAAGACAATTGCACTGAGCATTAAGGTAATCATCGGGAAAAATATTAAAACTTTTATGAATATTAACTGGAACAAAAAAGGAAAAGGGAGAATGTGAGGTGGTGAGTATGGAGAAACAGATAGGATCAGAAAGGCAAGATGGCCAAAGAAAGTTTGAATGATGTTTAGATTTAGATTTGATAAAATTAGAAGGAAAAAAATGAATAAAATGCTTTCCAAAAGATATTAGCTGAAAGATGATTTATGTCATTTGTTTCTATTCTCAATAAACAGAAAACTACTAAGCCATTTTGAGGAATTCATGGATTTGGTGTCCATTTCAGTCTACATTCACTACACCTAGAATGGACACGTATTGGGTGTGTACTGTATAAAACAGATATAATTTTATCCTGGATTTTGGAGGCTAGAGAAAGAAAAAAAAAATGGTAACAGCAATTGCATCTACCTACATCCTTAACTATCTCACAAAGAAGTAAAAAAGGAGAAAATGCTTGAAAAACAAAACATTTTAACAAAGGTGAAAAAGAGTAGAAATGAAAATAGTTTTAGCAAAGAATCGGCATCATTTCCATAAATAAGAATACAAAAAGAGAAAGGAGTCCCAATTGGAGAGTATTTCCAGTCATCCAAGAACAAGAGACAATTCCTTGTGTCAAGATTTGGTTGATTGTTTTCAGTGGTATATCAACCTTTATGAGTTATTTAGTGCTGAAATCTAAATATTTTGAACACAAATTTATGGCTACAACTAAATATATTTTGAAACCAATTGTATGCCTTTAACTACAGATAAAATGTATTGTTGGACATTTTTTTTATAAAGATAAAAATGTATTGTTGGTATTTTTACTATAAAAATGTATTCGGTATGGGGGAGTTCACTATTTGTTTCTAGCTGGGACTAGTGAGAAGATGATTAATCAGAATCAAGAATCAGAAATATCAAAACTTTTTAGTGTATTGGAATCAGCATCAGAGAATTTTTAACTTAATTTCCAATTGCATGGATTTTTTTTGTTTAAAACTTAATTTTCCATTCCTCGTACTAATGATGAAAAGATATAAATACTGATTGATTTTAAACTATCAGTAAAACTAAAATCTATAGATCATACGTATGATGTAAATTTATTTTATTTGTGTAAAAAAAAATAAATGTGCAGGTTTCTGCTCAGTTTTCAAAGTTTAAAGTTTTTTTCAGTTTAAAATAATTTTTTTTTCAATTTCTTTTTAAACATTGTTAATTCACCCATTTAATATTATAAATTATTAATTTAATAATTATAATCAAAGTTATGTAATATAAACACAAAATGAATTCATGTTGTTCTGTTGCCAGGCTCTCTTTTAAAACAATTTTTTTCCATCAAAAATTGTATTTAATTTTATTTTCGTTATATTTTTCTTTTGCATAATTGAACTTTCCCGAGTTAAATTATTATTTGCATTTAAAATATTTGAACTATTTTTCACATTTATTCCTTCTCAATGCCAAACAAGATGCAAGTTTTATTTTTTATAAGTAGAAATTTATAAAATATTAAAAACAAGTATTTGTATCTTATTTTTGAAGTGCATGCTGAAATTGAATTGTCACCCCTAAATTTGTTCTATTCATTGAAAAATGGCGCATATAAAATTTTAAGGAGATTGCTTAATATTTAGAGGATGCCTTTGCTTGTTAAAACTTAAAATATATAAGGTGGACAAAAAAAATATTTTTTATTTTACAGTT